TCGTGAGTCATATTTAAACTAAGGCAGAACTGGGATCACAATTCAGAGGCTATAGATTTTATCCAGTATCTCTCTAGTATCCCTGAATCCATGGAATTTTATGTTGCTGTTAGGTGATGTTCCACATCATCATTATTTATAAATGAGATATGCACTCAACTAAGTGTATCATACCTTGTAAACAAGTTCTAAAAATGAACCTGCCTCTTGAGGGTTTTTTATCATCACTCTCTCAATGAGTGAAACACTTGTCAAAAATTAAATGAACTTCAGTGTTGCTTGGCTAATAATTTATCTAAATAAATAAATTAAAGTTATTATTTCTAAAAGGAATGTGCTATTTAAATTAATGTAACGATTTTGGCACCATCTTCTGGTGCCAAGGTGAACCTTGGATTCTATGTAATTTCATCCACAGTTACAAAAAGGCTCATGTCCTAGTGGAGAAGAAAGCAAAAGGAGGCCAGGGTAAGGCACATTTGATGGGGATTGTGGAGTGGGAAGATGGAAATTAAATGCTCAGTTTTAAATGGCTCATTGTGGCTTCTTTTGTGAAATACAAGATAACTTGGTATGAAAATTTATTTCTCTTTATCTCTATTTGGCAAAAATAAATACCTCTATGTTTACAAAAGTGTGTCTATGCAGGACTGAAATTTTAATGTTAAAAAATCCAGATAGCTACAGAAATGTTATAGAAATGTAACAGAAAGCTCGACATAAAATAACAATAACTTAAAAAACAAAAACAAAATAAAACTGCTAACTGAACATTTGAGACTTCTGTTATTTTCTCTTATACATTAGTCACTTGCTGAAAGCTTGGTTTTATGTGGCTTATCTTGCTCTTTCATTATAGTTTGGAAATATATCCTATTTTGTGGTTAAAACTAATAACTCTACTTTTCATCAACCCAAGCCTGGTTCTGTAAAGCATTTTTAAATTTCAGAGTTAATTGAGCTTCAGAATAAAGTCGTGCATAGAATTCTAATTTGCAGTGGAGAATCTGCATCATGCCTGATGATGTCTCCCTGGAGACAAAGCATCAGGTAGTTTTGTCAATCAAATCAAAGTCATCATGTTCCCTTCTAATTTATTACACTTATTTATATGTTTACTTATGTCTTCAGGGGAGATTTGATTATGAATTATTTACTGTTGTTATTCACTTGTAATGCACCAATCACTACATCGAGACCAATTTAGGAATGATGTCTGCAAATTTCCAGATAAAGAGTGCTAGGCAATTTGTGTGATAAACTAATGATACTGTGAAAAAAAAAAGAAATTGTTCTACATGAAATTGTGGTTATTATTTTTCTGAAACTATCAAGTTATTCTTTTAACAAGCCTTTCCTATGAAAAACAAAGAAGGGGGGACACATAAAAGAGAGGTAATGTGAGTTGGAGCGTCATAAGATCCTGGTAAGTACAGAAAATAAGTGTGGTTAAATAAGTGGGTGAATTGGAAGTATGAGATAAAAAGTATTGGAATTAATAATTTTAAGGCTTTTACTATTCCAGGTGACACCAAACCCAAGGTATTGAAGAGGCTGACTGTAGTCTATAGTGCTGGAAGTTAATAAGTTGCTCATTGGAGTTCAAAAGTGTTACGTGCATGGACAGGAAGTTCAGATCATTGTGGAGGAAAAAGGATGAATCAGATGCCAGAATCCTTTCTCATGAACCTGTGCATTTACAAAGCCTGTTTCTTCTGCCTAGAATATCTTTACAACCACCTATTTGCCTGTCACACTCTTATGCCTTTTACAAGCACCAGCTCAGATCTCAACCAGTCTATGAATCATTGCCTGTGAATCATGTCACATTAATTCTTCCAAGTTCTCTGATCTTATAGCATTTTATTCTCACCTTGATTAAAGCATTTAACAGACTAAGTTGTATCTATATTTTTACAAATGCATCTCTGTATTACGCTGTGAACTTCTCAATGGTAACCACCAGGTCACATTCTCTGTTGTAACCTTTATAGCATCCACAGTGCCTGCCATGCAGCCAGTTCATTATATTATGTTTATTGAGTTAAATAAAGGATACATACATAACAACCACCAAGGGAACATACAGGAAGGCACAATCAATTCTTATGTAAGAAGGCTGGGAGAGTGCTACATAAAAAGATTCAGTCAAACCAGACCTTTAAGAGGTATAGATTTTCACTAATCACAGAATTAGAAAGGCAATCTAGGCTGAGCAAACCATACAAGTAAAATCACAGCATGTGGAAAGGTCAAATACATTTAAAACTGCTATGAATTCATCATTTATTAGTGCATTCAGTCAACAGATATTCATTGATTATTGCTCTATCCCAAGCATCGTACTAAGTAAAGATAAAAATAAAATAAAATAATAATACATTATTGTTGCCCTCAAGAAAGCATAGTCTTAACAAGGGAAAACAAACATGAAAGGAGAAAAAAATATTATGCAGCATGGAAGTTTGTGAAAACATGAACTAAGCTATGGGGTAGCACAAAGAACAAGCAGGAAAATTAGCCAAGCTTGGGGGCTTATATGAGGTCACTGTAAGTATGACATTTCATTGAGTACTTCAAAGTGAGGGAAGGAGAAATAGACCTTACAAATAAAGAACAGTATTTGTAAATTTTAAATAATTTTTATAAATTATAAAGAACAGTATGTTCAAATTTTTTAAATAATTTTTTTATTTATATGTATTGTAAATATGTCATAATAATACATACTTATAGGATCCATGTGATATTTTGATGCAAGAATACAATGCGTGCTGATCAAATCACAGTATTTGGAATACCTCTGGTGCCTTTTCATTTTAGTGAATTTCCCATGGAACCGCCATGGAAAGTGTTACTTTGCATGAAATAAAATTTGATTATATTGCTTGTCAGTTTAAAGACTTTTATTGGCCTGCTATTGTTGAGAAAATAACATTTGTAATTCCCTACTTTGGAAAAAAATTTTTAGAGGGCTTTCTTTCAGAATTAAGATTGGTAAATGTTATTTTGCAGACAATAGCAGGCCAATAATTTTTTTAAAACTAACAACAATATAATCAAATTTTATTATGGGACGATAACATTGGCAATTCTGTGGAAAATGCACTAGAATGGAAAGGGACTGGCAGCAGAGACAAGTTGAGGTTTGCAATAGTTCAAATGGTAAAGAGAAAGCAGAAATGGACAGAAGAAAGGATTGACCCAGAAAAATAATATTAGAAGTTTTTTATTCATTAGCAAGTAATTAAAGATTCTGAAAAGAGAAAAAAAAATGGTGAGTTAACAGACATTTTAGATAGATGCTTCTTGTGGTGATACAATTACTAGATTAGAAACACAAGAGACCAAAGACCTAAGCATCTGTTAGAAACTTAGTGCAAAGGCCTGAGGAAGAGATGTTAGGATTCACTAGAATTATGGGACATAAAATAGAAATAATTCCAAGGAAGAGTGATAGAGCTGATGCATGAAAAGTACGGGAGATGGCTCATTCATTTACTTATTTATTAATTCAACAAATAGTTTTTCAAGTATCATGTACCAAGCAATTTTCCTGGTACTGAGAATTCAGGAATGAGCAAAATAAACATCCCTGCCCAGAGCATATGGCTTAATGTAGAGACTTAATTTAAGCAAGTAATTACAAGAAGAAATGCTCAATGCTGTATTAAAGTAAAGGATGCTATGGAAATACATATCCACAGCACTCAGTGTGGTCTAGAGGGCTAGGAGATGATGATGTTTAGGTTGAATTCTAAAGAATGGATAGGATTAGCCAGGCCAAATCATCCAGGGAAAGGTAATTTTGGAAAAGAAGAACAGCATATGGGTGGGGGATTATTGTAGTGAAATACTGTAGTGAATTACTGAGTTTAAAGTTGAGCAAAGTCAGGAAACCACAGGATGAAAATAAAAGCAACCCATTCAAGAAGTCTGGCTGTTGAAAAAGATGGATTTTGTCAGATCCATATGAAATAAAAACAGGACTGTGTTTCCTATTTTTTTAATTTTGTTACAATTTACATACAAGAAAATACACAGGTTTTACATGTACAGTTCAAATAGTTTTTAAAATAATATGATCAAGTAACCACCAGCTCATCCAAGGTATAAAACATTTTGATGATCTCAGAAAGCTCCCTTATGCTTCTTTCAGATCAATGCCCCAAGGAAACTGCTGTTCTAATTTCCATCATTATAACTTTGGCTTGCTGGCTCTAGAATTGTATGAAAATGGAAGCATACGGTACATTTTCTTTTCTGTCTGGCTGCTTTCATTTAACATAATATTCTTGAGATGTATCCATTGGTGGTGTGTTGTGGTCGTCTGCTGCTTCCTATTGTTGAGTAGTGTTCCACTGTATGAATATGCCGTATGTTGTTACTCATCTGCTGGTGACTCTTGGGTCTATCATTCTTAAAAAAGTCTTTGTTTGACCATATCTTTTTATTTTTCAAGGACTGACTAAATGATTGTAGCCTAAAAATATATATATATTATATATGTAAATATATAATATATATAATATATAAATATAATATATATAATTATATTTATAAATATATATTTATATTTTTTGAGAAATAATCTGCACAACAAATTCCTGTGACATGAACTTACTTATATAACAAAACTTCACATGTACCCTTGAGCTAAAGTTTTAAAAAAGAAAGGAAATGCCACTATTTCTCAATGTGACCTATTATTTAACTTTCCCACCAGCCGTTCATGAGTTCTAGTTGCTCCACATTTTTTCTAGCAGTTGATACTTTCCGCCTTTTTTAACTTTAGTAATCATAGAGTGAGCTTTGAGTTTTTAGTTTGCAATTTCCTGATGACTAATAAAATTAAGCATTTTTTCATGGACTTTTTAGTGGATTGTGTAGATTTGTGAAGTGTTTAAGAGATTTTGAGTTTTAAAGACAAAAGGTGATAATATTTATTTATTTAATATTCAGAGATAAGGTTTTGCTATGTTGTCGAGGCTAGTCTTGAACTTCTGGGCTCAAGTGATCCTCCCACCTCATACTCCTGTGTAGTTGGGATTATGGCGTGGACCACCGTGCATCAATATTTTGATGCACGAAGCCAAGAATCAGTTGGAGGGAGGAGTTGAAAATATAAAAGAAAAAATTAAGAAAACAAGTGGCGGCCGGGCGCGTTGGCTCAAGCCTATAATCCCAGCACTTTGGGAGGCCGAGG